GCTATGTATAGGAAACAAGATATACCATCATATATATCTCAACAGGCAGAAGAGTCTTTGGGATGTGTCGTATCTTTTCCTACAAAAAGTGGTGTATAGTCCACATGCAGTGGTGAAGAAACCATTTCAAGCAGAATGCTGCTGTGTGCATCTTTTCCTCCATCCTGGAAATAAATGGGGCATATTCCCATCTAAGAGCTTTAGGAAACAGCTATCTATATTACAGATGAATGGGCCCCAACCACTTGTGCCGGCACAGGAATGTATTGTATAATATATTTGACATTTATGTCTTTCTTCATACAGGCCTGAGGCCTGCTACTCTCCTTTTTGACGCATATTGTGCTTGCTCTATTGCATACATGTGATATACACATTATAGCATAATTTTTGGATTCCTTGATAGGGATTTGCCATAATGGTTACTGCTTAATCCCTTATATCCTCCATTTTGGTATGCCCATGGCATAATTTTTGGATACACCTCCCTAGGGAAGTGTTCACCTATGTGTTTGTGCTACAGGGACACTAGACTCATGTAGCCATTTTCCCTGCTGTACACACACATTTAGACCGGTTCTGGTGTCATTTTAAATGGTTTTAGGTCTGTGTGTATTGTCTCATAATGAGGTGATGGTAAACCAGGGCATATGCCCATATGTCATATCTATATATGTGTAATAAAGCATAATTTTTGGAAATTATTTCCTGAGTGTCACGTTCTGTTCATTATGTAGCCGCTTTTCTGTGAATCTCTTTTCACAACCCCCTTTTTTTGTATGCCTCTTTTGGCTACTGAATGGAGACCATACATTGGGTGACACGCTAATTTATCCAATAACCTCTTAAATAATTATCTTAGGCCCGTGTGGCCTCCCTGTTACATTATGTTTTGCAGCGGGGGGCAAGTAGAGGAACCGATCCTCTGTATGCAGCAAACATAAGCCAGTATCACCCCCTCTTCCTCCTGCTGGTTTTTGCTGCTGCCCCCCACACACACACACACACACACTGATCACTGTTTCTGTGCCTCCTGCCCATTTGTGTGCCTGTGCGCACAGGTGCCTGGTGGGATGGGTCCGCTGCTGAGTGGAGGAGGAAGGTCAGGTGCTGAGAGGGAAAGATAAGAGAGTAGTAGAGAAGTGACAAGGAAACTTTCCTCCTTCCTGTCTAATCTCCTGTTTCTCCTCTGCTGCTAACCAGCCTCGTGTCCTCCCTGTCCCTGTCACTCTGTGAGCTGGTCTCACCTCCTCCTCCCTTGTCTCTTCCCCTCACCTCTCTCTATCTCTCAGTCTCCGCAGGTGTCTCCCCACCTCCCTCATCTCTTATTACCCCGCTGACCTGCCCTCAGTCCATACTTTCTACCTGGAGCCAGCCCGGGTGCCAGAGAGCCTGCAAGCAAGTTCATCAAGTGGTGAGAGAGGAGCATGGGGGGGAGGAAAGGGAATGTGCAGGAAATGAAAGAGATAGTGACAGGGCTGGGGGACATTAATTCATCTGGTGGGACTGAGATTTCCTTCCACTATATCTTTTAGCTGCTTAATTCCAACTCTGGCCCATACATATGCACACTTGGTGTGCGTGTGTTTGCTGTTTTTTTTCTCCATTTTCCCACTGTTGTAAACAGATTGCATATTTGTTTTATTATTGATGTACATTGTATTTTTTTGTTTTTGTACATTTTTGTATATAGTTCTCTGTGAATACTTGAGTATATATGGTATGGTGTTTTCACTAATTATTTGTCTCTGTAGAGTGATATCATGGCACAGTGAAGATTTGAATTACGCTTCCAAGTCCTGAAGAAGCAGTTGTCCCGCGAAACACGTTGGCAAAACACATTGATGTTAAAACGTATATCTCTCTTTCGTATGTCACAATTTGTTGATTTTACTTGTGTACTAAGAGTTGGTGTGTTCTAATACTTTTAAAGAGTATCATAATAACAAATAGCTATTGTGCTTTTACTTATATGATTGGTTAATGACTCATTATGCATGGTTTCCTGGGGAGCATAAATAAAAGTCCTTTTTGATTTCCTATTGATGTTTTATGATTTGGGATGATGCCCCAGGATATTATGATATAAATATCATCATACGTCCACCTTTTTTTAATTTCAAAGTAGTTGCAAAGCTCAGAAATAAAATATTAACAAAGCATATCCCTCCATATTGTGTACTTGTCTGGATTAAGAGCACTAAGTGTAATTTCTACCTGCTGCGTCTTTCCTCTGCTATCAGCATGAATCACTTCTGGCAAGTTTTCCTGACACCAAGAGAAAAAAGGTAATGGGGAGGGACCTCCAGCAGACTGAGAGCCTCAGCTCTGCTTCTGTGAGTTGTGTGGAGGGAGGTGTTTCTCTTCCCCCTGCAATATGTGATTTCAGCTCTCTGCCCCTTTTTTTCTGAACTCACAGATACACTTTATAAATTTAGCACTTTGAATGGAGAAGACTGCAGATAAACAGGTACAACTTATGTAGGAAGATTTGTTTAATCTCTGTATATCACCTTAGGATAGTCACATCACTGGGTATGTGTAAGGGTTTAGAACCGTTTTAATTTTGTGATTGCCTCTAAAGGACTATAGGTTCCCCCTTTCCATCATAGCTTACTTCTTGATCATAGAGTCTTTCTATTTTAAAAACCCAGCAGGCAAAGGGATTGTCTCATGTAATGACTGTAATAGGTCATTGAGCTGAGAACTCAGGTTCTATTTCACTGTGTATCTGACTTCTAATAAAAAAACTAAATGTAAGTTCTATTCCTATTTTAATCTTTACGTCCTGTTAAGATATAGCACCTACTTGCCAGAACAAAAGCATTTTTATTAAATGTATCAGTCAGCTGACAGATTTTCGATAAAAAAAAATGCTAGCAGCTAGCGTTAAACATCCTGTTCCTTGACCCCATCTGTTTCTTGTTGACAATAAAATCAATTTTCATAAAAAGTGGCGTCATAACCGTTATATTTAAAGGCATCTGTCAACATTTATAGAGGGAGGTCAGCTATTCGGGAAACAAACATTGCATGTATTTTCTATTTGATGCTCATAAACAGTCATATTTATATTTGATGAATTGTGTCACAAATCTATGCTCCAGCTCAGATTGATCACAGGGTCATTAACTTTTGGAAACAGGAAATTGCTTGTACTTATTTTTAAATAGGGAAGTATTGATTGAGCAGTTTTAAAACTAGAACAGGAAGCAGGAAGTTAAACATGTTCCACAGAAGAAAATACAGTCCCAAAAGATACTGTCATTTCCTTGTTTACATCACCATCATACAAATTAGGTTTCGTAGTATTTGGATACGGCTTGGAGCTGTGTCTCGTCAGCGCTAGAAGAAGTCACAGAATTTGCAGGAGATTCAGGTTTTAGATATAAACGGTGCACAATGGAATAGCATGGACAGTTTTAGCTTCCTATAGGAAATGTAATTTTATATAAGTGAAGAGTAGCATAGACCCCAGATTGGGCTGGCTATTTGATCCCATGTTCCATTCCCTGATAGGCACATGGCAGCCAGGCACACGATAGTTCCCAGTCACTGCAGTCAGAAAACAGGCCATGCATGAAGGCCCCTTGGCCCCCTTCCCTCCTTCTAGGGAAAGGGAGCCTTGACTGCTGGAAGCCTTGCAGCTACATTTATTTATTTCTTTCAGGTACTTATATAGCGCTGTCAATTTACACAGCGCTTTACATATATATTGTACATTCACATCAGTCCCTAACCCTCAAGCAGTGTACAATCAAAAGGCCCTAACTCACATTCATATACTAGGGCCAATTTAGACATAGGAGTAAACCTAAAACCGGGATGTTAAGTGGCTCCGATAGGATTGACCACCAAGACGTGAGGTGACTGGCTGGAGCCTGAACTAGCGAAAAAGGCTACGCAGGGGCACGTCCCACTGCTCTGAGGAGATTCAGATGTCACAAGAGTTGCCCACCCTCCCACTTGTGAGCTCCATCACAGCTTTATTGGCAGTTTTACCTTGCCAGTGGTTGATATTGCTTTATGGGCTATGCCCTCCAGTTTAATTCTGTGGTCAGTTTACTGCCTGTCTGGCACTGATGGTGAAGACAGGCCTCTAAGACTATCTGTGTTTTTGTTATGGATGCTCACAGTATAACCATGACTGGCATTGTTACAGTGAGGAACAGAAGTATTTGAACAGCCTGCGATTTTGCAAGTTCTCCCACTTAGAAATCATGGAGGGGTCTGAAATTCACATTGTAGGTGCATTCCCACTCTGAGAGACAGAATTAAAAAAAAAAAAATCAGGAAATCACATTGTATGATTTTTAAAGAATGTATTTGCCTTGCACTGCTGAACATAAGTATTTGAACACCTAAGAAACAGCAAAATTTCTGGCTCTCAAAGACCTGGTACTGTGCCTTTAAAAAGTCCACCTCTACTCCACTCATTAATCTAACTTAGTAGCACCTGTCTGAGCTCTTTAACCACTAGCCTACTGGGCACTTATACCCCCTTCCTGCCCAGGCCAATTTCCAGCTTTCAGCGCTGTCACACTTTGAATGACAATTGCACGGTCATGCAACACTGTACCCATATGAAATTTTTATCATTTTTTGAGACAGATAGAGCTTTCTTTTGGTGGTATTTAATCACCTCTGGGATTTTTATTTTTTCTTAAACAAACCAAAAACCACTGAAAATTTTGAAAAAAAAATGTTTTTTATTAGTTTTTGTTATACAATTTTGTAAATAAGTGATTTTTCTCCTTCACTGATGTGCGCTAATGAGGCTGCAGTGATGGCCACTGATAGGCTTCACTGATGGACACTGATAGGTGGCACTGATGAGGAGGCACTGGTAGGTTGCACTGATGGGCATTGACAGGCATCACTGATGGGCACTGAAAGGCAGCACTGATACATGACACTGATACATGACACTGATATATGGCACTGATAGGCGGCACTGACTGGCACTGTTAGGCAGCACTGACTGGCACTGTAAGGTGGCACTGACTGGCACTGATAGACGGCACTGACTGGCACTGATAGGCAGCACTGATTGGCAGCACTGATAGGTGGCACTGATTGGCATTGATGGGTGACAAAGGCAGCTCAGATGGGCACTGATATGTGGCATTGATGTGCACTGGTATGCACTGATATGTGGCATTGATGTGGCACTGATGGGCACTGGCACGTGGCACTGATGGGCACTGGCACTGATGGACACTGACAGGTGGCACTTCTGGGGCCACACTGATCATCAGGGCACACTGATCATCAGTGCCCTGATGATCAGTGTACATGTCTCCTCCGCGGAAAGCCTATTACCGGCTCTCCTCTCGAGCTGTCAGCGTGACAGCTCGAGAGGAGAGAAATGCCGATAACCGGCATTTCCGTGTTTACATGTGATCAGCTGTGATTGGACACAGCTGATCACATGACCGAGCCAACATCTTCGGCTCTTTCCGTGATCCGCTGTGTCTGAGGGACACAGCGGACTGGTGATCGCTACGCATGCGCAGTGAGAATGGTAGGACGTCATATGACGTCCTATCGGAACGAGAGAACCACCTTGCGCCCGTCATTGTACTATAGGGCGGGCGGAAGGTGGTTAAAGACACCTGTCCACCCCACAGTCAGTCAGACACCAACTACTACCATGGGCAAGAGCAAAGAGCTGTCAAAATACACCAGAGACAAAATTGTGGACCTAGGCTGGAAAGGGCTACGGGGCAATTGCCAAGCAGCTTGGTGAAAATAGATCAACTGTTGGAGCAATTGTTAGAAAATGGAAGAGGCTAAAGACGACTGTCAGTCTCCCTCGGACTGGGGCTCCATGCAAGATTTCACCTCGTGGGGTATCACTGATGATAAGAAAGGTGAGGAATCAGCCCAGAACTACAAGGGAGGAGCTGGTCAATGACATGAAGAGAGCTTGGACCACAGTTTCAAAGGTCACTGTCGATAGAACATCATGGATTCAAATCATGCATTGCACGGAAGGTTCCCCTGCTCAAGTCATCACATATTCAGGCCCGTCTGAAGTTTGCCTATGACCATCTGGATGATCCAGTGGAGGCATGGGAGAAAGTCATGTGGTCAGATGAGACCAAAGTAGAACTTTTTGGTCTAAACTTCACTCGTCGTGTTTGGAGGAAAAAGAAGGATGAGTTGCATCCCAAGAACACCATCCGTACTGTGAAGCATGGGGGTGGTAACATCATGCTTTGGGGGTGCTTTTCTGCGAAGGGGACAGGACGACTGCACTGTATTAAGGAGAGGATGAATGGGGCCATTTATTGTGAGATTTTGAGCAACAACCTCCTTCCCTCAGTCAGAGCATTGAAGATGGGTCATGGCTGGGTCTTCCAACATGACAACGACCCGAAGCACACAGCCAGGATAGCCAAGGAGTGGCTCCGTAAGAAGCATATCAAGGTTCTGGAGTGACCTAGCCAGTCTCCAGACCTAAATCCAATAGAACATCTTCGGAGGGAGCTGAAACTCCGTGTTGCTCAGCGACAGCCCCGAAATCTGACAGATCTAGAGGAGATCTGTGTGGAGGAGTGGGCCAAAATCCCTGTTGCAGTGTGTGCAAACCTGGTCAAGAACTACAGAAAACGTTTGACCTCTGTAATTGCAAACAAAGGCTTCTATTCCAAATATTAACACTGATTTTCTCAGGTGTTCAAATACTTATGTTCAGCAGTGCAAGACAAATAAATTCTTTAAAAATCATACAATGTGATTTCTGAATTTTTTTTTTAATTCTGTCTCTCAGAGTGGGAATGCACCTACAATGTGAATTTCAGACCCCTCCATGATTTCTAAGTGGGAGAACTTGCAAATCGCAGGGTGTTCAAATACTTCTGTTCCTCATGGTATATGGTTTCTTTGAATGTTGTTACATTTTGGAAAGTTCAATAAAGCTGTGGCCTTGTCCTAATTCCAACTTAATCAGTCTCTGTGTCTTTTTGGGGGCAAGGATTTTTGTTACGTTAGTGGTCAAAACGTACTTAGGCTTCTCAGCAGTCATGTCTTTTTTTCAGTTTATTTGCTGATTTAATTTGGATGGGGTGGGATGAGCCTTGGGATACTGTGAAAACTAGCAGAAATGCAACCGAAGACACTGATACTGCTTCGCTCCTTCACTACCATCTTGAACGTGGAGTTTTAATGAACTTCAATGCAGGAAACCCCTCAGCAGGGATATGGCCTGGAGTCAAAACTGTAGCGAGCACTCCCAAAGGTGGCAAATACAGTATTTAGGATCCCTGAGGCTAGTACTCACTCTTCCCTGTGTACTGTAATGTCTCCTGTAGTACTAGCCAGTCTCTTTACTTAATGCTGGCATCTTGAATCCTCTGCAAAGCTTCCTGCACTACTTCAGGGTACTTTGGGTCGAGGTCCCCTAGCTTGGGGAGGAGCTGGGACCCCAGAAAGGATTCCTTCTTCCTGCAGATGGCAGCCCAGGGATGGCTCAGCCCCCAAACTTGGTCTTACTACCTCAGGAACAAGAGAGTGCTGTTTTAGGCTCCAGTCAATTTATATTCCCCTCTACACCTGCTGGTGAATCACTTTCTTGACCAGGGATTAGCTGAGGCATTATGAATATGCAGGCCAGGGTACGACTCTTCCACCTACTATATCCCAGAATTCAGTGGGGTGCAGGGGAAAGTGGTTGTGCCTGCACCAGAAGCATCCAGAACAGCCAAAAGCAACTGAACACTGCTCCCCTGTTACAGGGAAGCCAAAAACTAAATTTATTCAAACTTTAGCAGCCTAACTAGGCGGGTGCTACAGAAGCACAGATAGTATCCTACTAATTTTTTTTCATTTATTCTTTATTGACATTTTTTCAAAAATACTGAGACAAAATCCTGCTAATTTCTTAGTATAGAAAATTACCTACCTTGCAGCAATAAAGGAAACATTTACTGGAAGAAATATGGAGGTTGCCATTTCTGTCCTCCTACTGAGAATGTTAATTGCTTTGCAGTCATGCTGGCCATCTGCCTCTGCTTTACTGAAATCCCAAGCACTGTTTTTAGCCCTACCCAGTTCTTCTCTGCTGGACTACAGAACAACCCTCTCCTTATGTTAAGCAGATGAGGAGATGGGAGACCTCTGTAATCCAGAAGAGGAAAACTAAGGCAGAGTTGACAACACTATTCAGGTATTTTAGTGCAGCAGAGGCAGAGTTGTCAGCTCAAGCAGAAACTTAGGAGCTCCTTGGATTTCTGGCAGTGCTTTGCATTCACATTAGTACCTGCCCCCAAATAGTCTATAATCTAAGGTTTCTATCTCATAAGCACACATACAGGCCAATTAAGACATGCACAAGGTTTCTATTAAGCACATACAGGCCAATTAAGACATGCACAGGGGGAACATGCAAACTTTATTCAGGTGTCCTGGTTGGGATTCAGACTGATGATCCTAGTACTGCAAAGCAGAAGTCCTGACCACTAAGCCCATACATACACTTTAAAGGAGGCGTGTGGGAAATGAAAAAAACAAACAAACATACTTATATGGCAGCAGCATTGGTCAGCTGCTGCAGGTGTCCAATGCCAGGTCTAAGCCTGAGAACTGTGTGATCATGTGACATCTGATCTCTCAGTTCTCAGGTCCTCTCTGAGTGGTGACTATAAGTCACTGCAATATGCTCTGCACCTTCAATGCTGTGGAGGGGGCGGAAGTGGCTGGCTCAGGCTCTCTGCAGTGCACTGAGAGACTGAGACAGCAGCCGATCAGGCATCAGGGTGAATTCCAACTGTTGATTATGTGTTATAGAAGACACTGGTAGTGATAGCAGAATTCAGGCTTTACTTGTGTGGCTTAAGTTACAGACATATAGAGCACATTGCAGCAGACTGTATAACAGCAGACATGTTACAGACTCATTACTTCCTGAAGAGATGATAGAGAAGAAGAAAGAACCAACAAGTTTCAGATATACACAACTAGTAACCTTTAGTGTATAGAGCCATCTACTGGTCAAGTGATATTACCACAGAATACTGTATATAGTACATTATAGTACATGCTGTTGTATTCCCAACACCAACATTATTGTCAGGATACATCCAAAGACTGGAGTGACTCTGTGATGTCAGTCAATAGCAGACTTTAGTAAGTGCATTCCTGCGACCCACATGAGAAGTATAACCAAGCAATCTTTGGCTGCTCTTCTCTTTTAAGATGGCCATTCAATATCCCTAATTTGCCACAACAATAATGTTTATGCTATCAAATGAACAGATTTGCTGCACTGAATTAAGCCATGTTTTTTGCTCTGTCAAAGAACATTATCATATTGGAGCACCACCTGTTGGACATCTTTGATTTACTTTCCTAATGTATGTGATCACTCACTGTACACATTTTATTCAACTGTTGTAGAGGAAGTTGGAATTTATGTTGTCAAGAGTCATTATCTATGTACATTTAGGTAAAAGGTAAGTATACTTATAAAATAATCCATGATGGGGCAGTCTATAGGTGAGATTCCTATCAGAGCAATTCAGAGCAGTGCTGAGGTCATCACAGAGGACAAGGGGGCACTCTTTACGTCTGGAGGAAAATAAATTTAATCTCCAAACACGGAAAGGATTGTTCACAGTGAGAGCCGAGAAAATGTTAGACTCCCTCAAGAGTTGGTTCTGGCAGCTCAGTGGATTGCTTTAAAAAAATCCTGGATTCTATATAACTAGATACTAACATTTCTAGGTAAAGTTGATCCCAGGAATATCTGATTGCCTCTCAGGGGATCAGGAAGGAATTTTTTTTTCCCTGCAGGAGCAAACTGGATCAGGCTTTGCTGGGTGTTTTTTTTTGCCTTCTTCTGGATCAACTGTGGGTATAGGATTATAACTTTTTTTTTTTTTTTTAATGGTTGAACTGGATGGACTTTTGTCTTTTTTCAGCCAGACTAACTATTGATAAGTGCTCTTGGGAAAATTTTGGGCAATTCTGTTCTTTCCTGCATACAAAGATAAGAGCTAGCATGGGTCAAAGGCACCTAAAACAGATGTATACCTTCAAGATACAAGTTTGGATATGTAATGGAAATATGTGTCAGAGTGGAAAACCAAGCCTTTTAGCAATCAGATTGTTCAGCGACACCTTTGAGTGCATTTAGCATCTTTGATGGTTGTTTTTTAACACCAAATTCTGAGAATCCTTCAGGAAGAGCTGCTTTTGAACTTGTCCAGAAGTCTACTGAAGTACTTGAACTGAAAGCCTGTTGACAGGAATAGAATAGTGGAAATAAAGTTGTTAAACACGGGAAAAACAATAGCATACCATCGTGCAGTCAGCTTCCTCACACTTCCTGTAATAAAATTATGCAATTCCCCAAATCCCCGAGGAGACAGATAAGGCAAACACTATTTTCATTAAAGCAGACAGAACCAACACTTTTCCTGTTTTTCTGCAAAGAGGTCACCTGGAAAAAAACATGTGAGGACATTCATGCATTTTATTTTGCTATCATAATTGTTGTTAGAACAGGAACTGGAATGTGTAATAAATAAATGAATAACATTAGGTAGGAAATATTATTTTAGTGACTAGAGACAATAAAAGACACATAAAACAGTCTGCACTTATGTACATGCATGGTATAGGAAATATTGTAAGTATGACTCAATTAAGAATTTTATATGCATAAGGATCGTACACATTTATTTATGATTTTCTACAACCATCATAACTGATATATACCGTGCACATCAGCTTTTGGAGGGTGGAAGGGGAGCGGGCCTGTGCACATCAGATTTGGGCCTGATAAAATCTCATAGTGGGCTGTATGTGACCTTTGAGCCACAGTTTGGAAACCCCTGCTTTAGATCAGTGTTTTCCAAATGTGGCCCTTTGCTTGCCTTTTCCTCCCACTGATACAAGACACTGTTCCTTCCACTGACACCAACAATGGGGAATAATTCCCAGTACTGATATCAACAACATGCACTATTCTTCCCACTGACACCAACGCTGGGGCACAATACCTCACACTGACACCAATGATGGGGCACAATACCTCCCACTGACACCAACGATGGGGCACTATTCCTCCCATTGACACCAACATTGGGGCACAATTCCTTCAATTGACACCAACAATGGGGCACTATACCTCTCACTGACACCAATGATGGGGCACAATTCCTCCCACTGACACCAGTAATGGGGCACTATTCCTTCCACTAATACCAACAATGGGGCACTATACCTCCTTCTGACACTAACGATGGGGCACTATTCCTCTCACTGACTCCAACGATGGGGCACAATTCATCCCACTGACACCAACAATGGGGTACTATTCCTCGCACTGACATCAATAATGGGGCACTATTCCTCCCATTGACACTAACGATGGGGCACTATTCCTCCCACTGACACTAACGATGGGTCACTATTACTCTCAGTGACTCCAACTATGGGGCACAATTCCTCCCACTGACACCAATGATGGGGCACTATTCCTCCCACTGACACCAACGATGGGGCACTATTCCTCCCACTGACTTCAACAATGGGGCACTATTCCTCGCACTGACATCAATAATGGGGCACTATTCCTCCCACTGACACTAACGATGGGGCACTATTCCTCCCACTGACACTAACGATGGGTCACTATTACTCTCAGTGACTCCAACTATGGGGCACAATTCCTCCCACTGACACCAATGATGGGGCACTATTCCTCCCACTGACACCAACGATGGGGCACTATTCCTCCCACTGACTTCAACAATGGGGCACTATTCCTCGCACTGACATCAATAATGGGGCACTATTCCTTCCACTGAGACCAACAATGGGCCACTATTCCTCCCACTGACACCAATATTGGGACATTTTTCCTTTCATTGACACAAACAATGGGGCACTCTTCCTCCCACTGACACCAATGATGGGGCACTATTTCTCTCACTGACACCAACATTGGGTCACTATTCCTCCCACTGGCAGCAACAATGAGACACAATTCCTCCCATTGACACCAATGATTGGGCACAATTCCTTCCATTGACACCAGTAATGGGACAATATTCCCTCCACTTACACCAATAATGGGGCACTATTCCTCCCACTGACACCAACGATGGGGCACAATTCTTCCCACTGACACCTGTGATGGCGAACTACTTCCCCCTGCTGACACCAACAATGAGGCGCTACTCCTCCCCCTAATACTAAAGATACATAGCAGGCACCAGGACAATTTCTACTCACAGTGGCCGCAGTCCAGCCTCCCTAAAGTCTGAAGGCTAGTAAACTGTCTCTTTGTTTAGAAAGTTTGGAGACCCCCCTACTTTAGATCAATGAGATCTCCCTTCTCCCTAGACATGTGCAATTTGATTCGTTCTGAAACTAAATTCAGACAAAATTTTCTTCATTTGGAGATTCTGATGTATCCGAATGTCCAAATCACAATATTAATGAATTTCAATGAATCCAAAATTAATGATACCAAAAACAACAAATTAATTTGTGTTCATTATTTCATGATACGAGAGTTTGGGTCTTGTGTCAATGTTTGAAGCATCCAAAATGACATACAATATAACAAATGATCTGAATAGATTTGGATCCTTTTTTTTATTCGGATGAGAGCGGCATAGCAGTCTTTGTCACTTGAATAATTCTTTTTACATTAAAGTGTTACTAACTCCAGGACCCTGCATTCAGTATATCTGGTCTCCCACAGTACACAGAACATGGAAATGTAATTATTTTAGTAAACATAACTTGCTAAATACCTTTTCTCATTAGCAGTATATGAGACTTCTATCAGTGCCTGGCCGAGCATTGGTTAATCTTCTAGGAGGAGTTTTCATTCCCATCTGACTGTCCTATGAAACTCCATGACCCCTGATCCTCTGTCCGGACAGCGCTGATTGGCCCTGTGTTGATCATGTGCACCCTTCCAACAAAAAACTCTCTAGCAATACACTCTAAACTGAGCATGTGCTGAGTGACTCCTAGAGCTCTGTACTATCAGCTGATGGATTGTGGACAGTAGAAGGGGAGGATCAGAGAAGATGGGATCAAAGGGCCTTTTTACACAATGAGGAGGATTAACCCATTAGGTTCCACAGTGAGTATAACAAGCATGCTTTACTGCATATACAGACTGATTTTACTGTTATGGGTTTAGTAACACTTTAACATTTTTCACTATTATTAAAAATGCACTACATATGAAATGGAAACATATTGCAATAAATACAGTAAGGTATAAAAGTGAAATAAGATGATTCCAAGTTATTGTATTTGGGTTGGTCAGAGGAGGATCCATCAGAATAATAACATAACGAATTAATCTGAAATTACTTTCTTTACTCCAGTTAATATCATCCAATCAGTTAATTTTATTTCTTTTGTGGGTTGGACTAGCGGGGATGACTCAGAGTGCATAAGTAATTAAAATGTTTAAACGAATATTGGCAGTCTCCAGAAATTACAAAATGATTCAGAACAACAAACATACAAAAGGAATCAGAATACACGAAACAAATGCCAAAAATGAATCATTCTAACATAATGAATATGATTGCATTTGCATAGTTAGGTTAAGCACAGCTGTGTTTCTCTGCTTACCTGAGAGGCTGGTAAATTCAGTGTGGTATTCTGCCTAACAGAGTGCTGTGATTGATTCATCAGGTCTGCTCATGATGCTCTGATGTTGTTTGGGTTTGTTGAGTTTGTTAAGTTCTGCCCGCCTTCAGGAAGCTTATGAGAGCCTTCCAGAATATGGGTAGGGGCTAGGCAAATGAACAGCATAAATATGGATACAGCCCTGGCCAACTGCAGGGTAAGGTGGCCCCACTGCATGCTGGGAGTGATATTTATGTTCTGGGAGCACATGAGCTTTGGGTCTTTCCCGGGAGTGGATTGCACAAAACCAGGCTGGATGCAGGTTGCCTCACCTAGCACTTGATGCCATGTTGCCTCAGGTGGGTTGACCTGAGGGCCTGAGGTTAGAGAGAGTGACCCTGGTTCTACAATAAGCTGACTGCAGGGAGCTGTCTGCTAAAGATCTGTCTGGTATCACTGGAGAGAGTCGCTTGGATGATTGGAAGGAGGCAGCCATTCTGTCCTTGGGCCTTGTGAGTACAGACTCTGAGAGTCTTGGGGACTCTATAAGCTTTGCTACTCCTCTGGTGCTTGACAGTTAGCATGGGTCTTAGAAAGACTGGCTAGTGTTTTGAAGAGCTTGCCCAATTGATGCTACTGCAAAGGAATTTGCTCAGTTGCTATTACTTCTAGACTGTCGCAGTCTGCCATAACGGGCATGTATCTGAGGAGCTCAATTCTGTTACTATAATACAGCTAAAGGGACTTGGCTCACTCCTAAAACAACTTGCTGCTATATATTACAAGGAAGTCTTCTATCTGTTATTGACTTCTACATTGCTCCACTGAGAGATAAGTTCAGATGTCCTCAATGTAAATAGTTCTAATTTTGGAGTATCCTACTGCAATTCCCCATCCCTATCCCCAGTTCTGCAATAAAACTCCAAAACAAAACTTCCCCTAGACTGGTCATTGAAGACAATGAGCCAAAGTGTGTGTGCGTCTTGCTGTGGGTCGAAGCAAAGGTGAAACTGGGGCAACACACAAGCGGCCCTCACAAGGGTAGCACTACATGATGAAACAAAATGATTTACTTAACCACTTCCAGTCCAGCCCATGTATATAAAAGGCTGGACGGGATTAGTGCAGGGTCAGGGTGGCCGTTTATAAATGTCCTCCCGCTTCCCTGCCTGTGCACACTCCCTGGGATTGCACAGCACCGTGATCTGGTGCCCACTGTGTCTGGAGGACACAGCGGAACACTGATCGCTGTACAGGACCTCTGTGTGAGGTCCCGATCATGTGATCACTGATTGGCCAATCAGTGATCACATGAATAGTAGTAAGCAAGATGTCACTTCCTGACATCATTGCTTACTACTTGTGAAATCTGTGAATGATCAGAGAGGTCACATGGTACAAGGCTATTCACAACAGTCTTGTACCATGTGACAAACTGTGACCAATCACAGCTCTCACAGTAGAGAGAAAGAGAAATGATTGCTTTTACAGCCTTTATGGGTGTAAAAGCAATCCGTGTAATAAAAAAAAAATCTTCATCACCCCCCACAAGTAATACAGTGTCACTATGGTGACACTGTACTGCTAGGGTGACAGTATGTTAAAAAAAAATAATAATAATATAAAAAATAAATAAAAATGTAAAAATTATTTTTGAAAAATTATAATTTTTGGTTATAAACTAATTTGGGTTATTTTTTTTTACTAAAAAGATAGCTAAATAAATTTTGGCCAAGATTTACGTAGAAATATTATTTATTTGCAAAATTGTATAAGAAAAACACTTTTTTTTCAAAATGTTTGGACTTTTTCATATATATAGCATAAAAATGTAAATCCCAGTGGTGAATAAATACCACCAAAATAAAGTTTTATCTGTCTCAAAAACATACCAAAAAATTCATTTGGGTACAGTGTTGCATGACCGCGCAATTGTCATTCAAAGTGTGATAGCACTGAAAGCTGAAAATTGGCCTGGACAGCAAGGGGGTGAACGTGTCCGGACTTGAAGTGGTTAACAATTGAATATGAAACAAAACACATTTTTTTTGTTGTGCACATCTCTAGTATGCTTGTTTCACAAACCTGGAGCCAACAAACTACAAGCTAGTCCCTGTGTTTTCCCACAATTAATCTCAGGGCAATAACATTATTTCAAAAACCATCTATGCTGAAGGATGTGGAGCATAAGGGAAATGGGGCCAGCAGGTGATGAGAAAATTCTATGTCAGCTGTCTTTAATGCTGTGTGATTTAAATTACAATTCCACCTCACAGGAGGTATGTCCTTAATATATAGTTGTACTCATCACAGTAATTGCAGAAAGAGGCAATAAATAATGAACACATTAGTAAACAATGTCTGCATTGTCTTGTCTGCTGTATATATATATGTACACACGAAGAAAGACCAACATTTTATATATGCTTCATTCATAGCATTTTTTTTTTGTCTCGGGCAAGGTAAAATTCTGCCTCCCATCTATCAAGGCCACCAACTCATTCAGCAGCTGGTATGTGTCCATAATTAGTGAAATTAATTAGCCTTAAAAAAACTAGGCCATGTGACCTGAATATGCACTATGTGCTAGTTGTCATGACAGCATCATTCAGAGCATTAAAGAACAGGCCAGTGCTTTCCCCCCTATTAAAAATGAAGAAACATTTTATCTCTAAACGAGAAACACACATATATGTAAAAAAAATGATGGGTAGCTACTTACTCCCACCTTTGCTGTACTTCATTTCTCTGACAGATCCTTCAATACTTAACCAGTTTGGCTCCAGAGCAATTTTTAAAATTTTTCGCACATGTAAAAATCTTCATTTTTGGCAATAAAATTGCTTAACCCCCCAGAACTTTATATCTGAAAGCAAAGACCCTGTAGAATAGAAAGGTGATATTTGCACATTTTTATGTCACATAATATTTGTGCAACTGTTTATTAAACGCAAAATTTCTGAAAAAATATATACTATTTTTTGTAAAATATAAAAGATGATATTGCATTGAGTAAATAGATACCAAACATGCCATGTCTTAAAATTGCGTGTGACCGTGATATCACAAAAAACTATGGTGCCTCAAAATCACCATAGGTGATGTTTTAAAAGCCTTTACAGCTTATCCATTTCGAGTTAACTAGGAGTTCTTCTTGTGCTAAAATTTGTTCTCACTCTGACGTTCATGGTGATATGTCACACGTGTGGTGCGGCCACGGTATACATATGCACTTGCGCAGAGCAACAGGGGTTATGGTAATTTTTTTAATAATATATTTTATTCTATTTTTATTTTTTAAAACCTTTTTCTTTTATTTGTTTTTACTTGATTGTGATCATAAGGAGTCAATAAACCCTGATGTGTTAGCATTGGGCAGGTGACAGGTACTCTTTGTGGAGATATTAGGGGACTCATAGACACCAATGTCTCCCCTGTCCATCACAGCATCTAACCAAGCACATTTTTTAAAATAGATAGTGCCGCGCTCCCATGTACCAATATGTATATCTTATACTTTCAAAGTGCTAA